ATTTCCTCATACGACTTTCTGCGCGAGAGCGCCTCCGGCTTCGAGTATGAATGAAACATACACTGCATGAGTGTTTAGCGCTCCGTGATGTTCATCTCGCCTTATTCTGGGTCCGAATAAAACATCAGATCATGCACAGACTATCCTGTCTCTTTGAATTTAAATCTATATTTATTCACACCGGCTCTTGAAAACCTCTATGCGAACACACTTGCCTGAAAAAGTGCGGGGGACGAATTAACGTGATATTAAAAGTGGGGGGACACGTCCCCCGCGTAATCTACGCCCCTGGAAGGTTATAATATGAGGCTTTACTGTTAGCATGATGTTAGCTCTAAACTGCTGGATGATACAAGTTTGTTAAAGTGGTAGGAATGGGGTAAGTTGAGCTAGTTTACTGTAATTCTACATTATATTTCATTAATTTTACACCATACATAATTTTGTTCTTTGTTTTGAACTTGATTTTGTTCTGTAAAATTTTAAATAGGCCTTATGAAAATTGGCCACTGAAGTTTTTATGATATTGTATTTCCCTGCAACATATAAGTGGGATGTTGAGTACTATTAGCCCATTTCTGGAAGGTCAATTGCAGTCTGTTTTTATTTAAAAAAAAAAAAATGTTTAATTCTTCAATTTGAACTTTTTGTTCTGAAATGTTTTAATAATTTAAAAAACGTCTTCAGAGTTGTGAACTATACCTTTAAATAAAACGTTTAAGACGTCATCCATCCATCCATTCTATTATCCAAACCTACATGTCCTTATTAGGGTCGTGGGGAGCTGGATCCTAAGCCAGCGTCTTGAGCCACAGTTGAGGAAACTCCCTAGATGAACGGCCAGTCCATCACAAGGCTCACACATAAATTTTAAGTCATTTTTATTGAATTTCTCTTCCTTTGATATAGCATGAGGTGAAAATGTTCAGTTTACTTCAGCATAATCAGTGGCACAGTTTAACTCCATGAGGCTCAATTTACCCCTCACTGGGGGCAAGACCACTTTTTTTGGAAAGCCTATTTTGAAAGCAGTTTATTTTAGACCCAAGTGGATTATTCCCAAGGATGCACAACATCCTGAAATGTATGTACATATTTAAGTTTAATATTTAAGACCCATTACTGTCATGTGCTCACTTTAAACACGGCATAAGTAAAAACTGGCTCAACTCACCCCACTCTCCCCGATTTATTTATTTATTTTGTAGCTTGATCACTAAAGTCACTATAAATGTTATATGCAAAAAGAGCAAGTTCTTTAAAAATTCTCTATTTGTATTTCACAATAAAAGAGTGTTTGTACAATAAACGGAAGCATAGATGTGGCTTGCTTTGTGGTCAATGTCTTTCAATGATTTCCTTAATAATTGACAGACCTTAGACTTGATTTGATTTATTTTATTTTCAAATATTTATAAAAAAAAAATAAAAATAAGTTCCACATCATATGATTTTCATGTTTTTCCCACAGTTTCTGGGGCATACAGAAGTTGATCAACCCAAAGGTACGGAGGTGGTGAAAGATGCTGTCAGAAAGCTCAAGGTACGTTACTGTAGTATTACATTGGCTGCACACAGAAGGCGCCATTGCTTCCAACTGGAAACAGGAAGTGTTATTTCTCTTGAGAAGATGTAATATCAGAACCCTCCAGCTGTTTCACCTGTTTAATGAGAATTTTATTTCATCAACCCTCCACTCTCAGTCTTACATTATCACTTATAAGGGGTTTTGATTAAATAGGAAATGCTATATCAATTGAAGAAGGTCATATTTAAATAATAATAAATTATTATTATTATTGTTATTATTATATGAATGTGTTACATGAATTCTCTTTTATCAACTCAAGATAAAACAACACATTATATTGGTTAATTAACCAAGGACTTTTTAAAAACTGATCTTAAACATATCTGATTGTGTTTTTTCTCTCTCTCTCTCTCTCTCTCTCTCTAAAGTTTCAGAAACACATTAAGAAGTCAGAGGGACAGAAGATCCCAAAAGTGGAATTACAGATCTCCATCTACGGAGTAAAAATATTAGATCCTAAATCAAAAGTATGTGAATATAGCCTAACAAACAGATTTATGAAACCAATTGTGTCTCACACGAGCCATGTTGTTTAAGTAGAAGCCAGTTGAGGAGCTGTAAAGGCCCTATAAAAAAGTATTTGGACGATTTCTGGTTGTTGAAGTGTGTGAGCCTGAGGGGAACTCACTTTATATATTTGCCAAAAAAGACTATAGGATATTTTGTTGTTTAGTCTAAAAAAAATTTTTTTTAAGTGTGTCCAAGTACTTTTGGGTGCCACTGTATGCCCATCTCTGTTTAGAGACCCTATATTTTGTCTATACTGTCTCTTATCTTGTTTTCTTCTTCACAGGAAGTACAGTACAACTGTCAATTGCACCGGATATCCTTCTGTGCAGATGATAAGACAGACAAAAGGATATTCACATTCATTTGTAAAGATTCAGAGTCCAACAAACATCTCTGCTATGTGCTTGACAGTGAAAAATGTGTAAGACAGCAGATGTCATATTAATCTTTTTTTAAAGAAATGATTTGTCTCTCTTTCATATTGTTTTTGAACTTTTACATTTAAATTAAATGGATACTTAAATGTGTCTCAGAAGACAAATGGCCAAACAAAACACTGCTGATGATGTTACTAGGAAAATGATCTGTCATGTATCTGTCGATTCCAGGCAGAAGAGATAACTTTGACCATCGGCCAAGCGTTTGACTTGGCATACAAGAAGTTTCTGGAGTCCGGGGGAAAAGACGTAGAGACGAGGAAACAGATAGGTGGCCTACAGAAAAGAGTGAGTATGATATACAACTGCAGTTAGAGAACACAAAGCAATAACTCAAATCATTTATGACAAATAAATGTCTGTCTTTATAGATTCAAGATCTTGAAGCTGAAAATTCCGAGTTGAAGAAGCAGTTGCAAGTCTTAGACGAACAGCTGATGATTGCTCAAGTTCCTCCTGTAAGCACTGCGTGGACTTCCTCTCAGTAGAGTGCACCTAACTGCCGTTCACCATTCTGTTAATTAGCTGCATGCAAAACAGATATCAGCTATGCCTAAAAAGACCTCTTCTAAACTCATAAGCTTTTCCTTTTTTAAGAAAAAAAAGCATACAGTGAAACTAAAACACTAGTGCTGACTAGTTCTGATCTTTCCACAGCTTCTTCACATTAACTCTTCTAATGATGCCTATATGCTTCAGAGACCCTCATCTCTCTTCTGGTGTCACAACGTGACTTCATTCTCGTGCCTCGAAATTTCTTCTGTTACACTAACGCCAATGAGCTCACCTGACTCTAACCTTTCTGCTGGTCTTCTGACTCCTCCACCTGCTAAACCAGCTTTGTCAAAGTCTCCCAGTGGAGCCAGTGTTCCTCACCCTCCTGTTAAGTACTTTTCTGTTTGCACTTTCTCTCTTTGTGGTATTGGTTGTTGGTTTCAGTTGTTTTCGCTAAGTTTTGCCCTCAGATTTTAAAGGCTAGTTCACACTGCCCCAACAAACGCATACACTAGATTCCAGCGGTTGATGGGTTTTTTGGGATCGGTGTGTTTACCCTGTTGGTGTTTGTTTGGGGCAGTGTGAACCAGCATTAAGTGGTCATGAATTTTGTCATTTTACTGAAATATTTCCAAATGAAATTGTGATATTTAGCAAGGGGGAAAGGTAGGGCTTTTTATCATTTGGAAGTTGATTGGATCATGAAAAGGTTGAGAAAATGGAATTCATAGAATCAGCGAAGTAGTAAATTTAGTTCAGAAGTTGAGCTTTAATTCAACTGAATCAAGTAAATTCAAATTTAATTCTCTGAGTTGAGAATTATTTTATTTATTTAGAATTTTCTTTTTTAAGGCTGGTATATATTTTATTTTTTTAAATGTTCTTATTAAAAATATATATTTTTATGACTCACTGATTAAGAAATACATATGTAATTATTGATTTATATATAATGGAATAATGCATACAACAAAACACACAAAAACACCAAGAATGTGAATGGGTCAAGATTCATTCATTCATTTCATTCATTCACTCATGCACAAAAACACTTGGAATGTAAATCGGGTCAATTTTTATTTATTTTATTATATTTTATTTATGTTTTTATTAAAGATATTTTTGACTCACTCATTAAAAAATACAAATGTAATTATTAATTTATTTATTGGAATAATGCACACAATGAAACACAAAACACTTTGAATGTGAATAGGGTCAATATTCATTCATTCATTCATTCAAAGCACACAATGAAACTTTCACAAAAACATTTGTGAATTGGGGCTATTTTGATTTCGTGTTGACTTCAATGTTATAAATAAATAGTATGTTGTATAATGTGGTATAATGTAATATGCTCTAATATGCACTTTATTCTTAAGTTTTAATATATGATAATGGTTTTCAAGTGAGTGATTCTTCACATTGCTCATGTACTTCACGCATAATTCACATTTGCAGGGAAGCAGCATGTCCTCGAAGACGCCCACTGACATATTTGACATGGTTCCATTTTCTCCAATGACCCCATTGGTTCCATTACCAGCAAGTAATGGCTCGGCTCCTCCACCCCCTGCAAGGCCTACAGAGATTAGTAAGTTGTCTTTTTTCCCCCTTTTTCTTTACCAAAAGAAATGTTGGCTCATTCGGCCAAAAGATCAGGTTGCATAGGCTTGTATATTATGGATGTTAGCTTCAGTGGCCTGTAAAATGAAGGGAAAAAAGACTGCCCTTTTCTTCTTCAGGCAGAGACCTGTTTGGTGCAGAGCCATTTGACCCTTTCACCTGCGGGGCAGCTGACTTTCCTCCTGACATCCAGTCCAAGCTGGATGAAATGCAGGTGATTGCATGTCTGTGAATTATTAGCAAATGGACTGGTGTAAATGAGCAGCTGATGGAACTGCTGCAGTTGTGAAGATTCTCTCAGTACAGAAGGGAATAATATGATTATATTTGGTTTTATGTTCATTTTGGATTTGGCTTGAGAGTGCTATACTGTTTGTAGATGGAAAACTTTCAAGAGAACTGCTAAATTTGCTTTTTTACGTATGCATTGAACCTGAAAATAGACTAACTTAAAATAGACTAACATGCAGTAAATTTTGCATACAGAGCAGTTACTTTAAATATTTATATCATTTTCCAGTTTTGCTTAACTAACAACCTCAATTTTCTGTCTCTTTGCTCTCTTTCTGCTTGCAGCGGCAAAGATGGTTTGTATTTTAAGGAAATTAGATTTTTTTCAGATGACATATAGCTTAGGTCTAATTTGGCATGCCTAACTGTTTTATAGGGATAGTTTATCCAAAAATGAAAATTCTGTCTCTCATTTATACTTCTCTTTTGGATACATTGAAAATAAATGGTGAGTTGATTTCCACAAACTGTGTGCATAGACTTAACTGCTAAGTTTGCTTTTTTTTTTACGTATGCATTGAACCTGAAAATAGACTAACTTAAAATAGATTAACATGCAGTAAATTTTGCATACAGAGCAGTTACTTTAAATATTTATATCATTTTCCAGTTTTGCTTAACTAACAACCTCAATTTTCTGTCTCTTTGCTCTCTTTCTGCTTGCAGCGGCAAAGATGGTTTGTATTTTAAGGAAATTAGATTTTTTTCAGATGACATATAGCTTAGGTCTAATTTGGCATGCCTAACTGTTTTATAGGGATAGTTTATCCAAAAATGAAAATTCTGTCTCTCATTTATACTTCTCTTTTGGATACATTGAAAATAAATGGTGAGTTGATTTCCACAAACTGTGTGCATAGACTTATATTAGACAATTATATTATATTATACAATATTTCAAGACTTCTAAAGCCATGCAGAAGTTTCATTTGAGGTACAAACCAAATTTTTGAATCAGTTGTTATTTACAATATGCAAATATGCACATATTCAAATCGCCTAAATGAGATTTGAGAACTATGGCAGATGATTTCCATTGAATCATGGGTTAAATTTCAATCTGTTATGTCATAAAACTTTGAATATTATGCACAAATCTTATATCATGCTGGAGCTTTATGGCCCCTGGTCGCCATTCACTTTCATTGTATGGCTAAATGTCTCCATTTGTGTTCCATGGGACAACGTGATGGTGATTAAATGATGAAAACATTTTCATTTTTAGATGAACTATCCCTGCAAATGTCTCTTAAGATAAATTATTTACACTTACTTTAAGCCCTGTGTCATTTTCTTCTGCCGCATGCCCTGCTTAAAAAAAGGCTTTTTACTTATTAAACAGATTTGTATAAATGTAGAATGTGGTTGCGTATTATTTGAAATAAACTTGCATGTATTTCACTGTTTAAAGGATTAATTCTAATAGTGTTTGTATTTTTTTTTCCCTCTCCAGGAGGGGTTCAAAATGGGACTAACAGTAGAGGGCACTGTCTTTTCCCTTGATCCACTAGAAGGTCGCTGCTGATGCCAAGAAGAAAGTTTTGTCACTTTCATGTTAAACCATTTGTATTAAAGTGCCAAACTCGGGTTTACAGTCAAGATGTCAATGTCTTATCTTACGTTTTTATGTATTTGCATTATACAAAAAGTATATTGAGAAATCTGAAGCAGTAGATCAATATTTTTGTAAGAACTGAAAAAAAAAAAACCTAGTAATGTAGTTTTAACACCCCTTGCTTGTACAGGCAATGAAGGATGTAGGAAGTATGTCCAATTGCACAGTCTGTGTCGAAGTTTCATAACTGTTCAAAGGCAAATTCTTTAAGCTTATGTTACACATACAAGCTACTGTTTTTAATCTGTTTGGCATATTACAAATCACAACGTTATCATTATGGAGAGTTCCCTTTACGTTATTTTTTAGCTTTATTTTTAACACTTAATGCGGTACCATACATCATAATAACATTCCTTTTGTATCAAATCTCATGTAAAATTATGATATTGTTTTTGTTAATAGCAATGGATCCATTAAAATACAGTATTTTTTAACTGAACAGCAGTTAAATTGTAGGACTGGACTATTTCCACATTAACATGTACTTGTATTGCAGCTTAATTTTATATTATATATTTTAGTATACTCTTGCACAAGGAAGCACTTTGAAAGAGCTCTGTTCATGTATTATTGTTAATTCAGCATTATTTTAGCCTATGCTGTTGTAGTCATTAAAAGAAAACGGTACATATTCTCTGTGTAAGTCATGTTTTGTAACATGTCTTTCTTAGACCTTTACTTGCATTAAATAAGAGACCTTGTACGAATTTTGTTTATGTATATATTTTTGGCTCAACAAGTCTTCACGCACATGCTGTAGTGTTTAAGTAATTTATTTCAAGTCGCAGATAATGTATTGAAAATACAATGTCAAGAGATAGTAATATTACAGTAAAATGGTCATTATGTACTTGAGTACCATTCATTTTTTAAATTTACTCTTAAAATTAGTATAAAAGCTTAAAATGTTTGTTTTTCACGCTATATTTCATAATGATGGTTCAGAATCTAATTTGGCTCAATCATGTAATCTTCTGTGTACTGTTCATAAGTGTGTCTTTCTGAAGAGCACCGCAACTTGGTGTGCGTTACTTCATTCTTCTTCCATCGCTGTTCTGGTAGCTGCTCTTTCCCATCCTTTGTATGTACAACAAAAGTGTTTTTCCGTTCATAGTAGTGCTGCACCTAGATGTGTCATATTTCAATCAGTGCAATTGTTGTAGAAACCTGTAGAAAGCCTGTCTGAGGAACATGTATACAAGGCATAATAATAGAACATTCAAACAGGATTCATAAAAGCACACTTTTTGTTCAGTAAATAGTACCCATTTTTATGATTCCCCCAAAATACTAGTATAACAAGCAATATAATGAGCAGTCTTCGTTATAGGTGTTTACAGTTCTGATCATATTTGACAATTATTTTAGTCAAATATTTTTAACATACAGAAAGGACCATATTTTAACAATATTTGTTAAAACCATTTTTTAAAATATTTTAAACTAATATTATCCCTGCCATTTCTTACTGTTTACTCAAAGCATAAAAATACATTTAAAAAGAAGAAGAATAAAAAACATTCCGACAGGTTTTAACAAAATTGCATAAATCACTCTAGCAACTTACAGAGGATATAATGAAGCAAAGCAATATCATACATTTTTATTAATTAAAAATATATTTTCATGCTTAAAAGGTGAGGAAAGAAACAAGTATCTATAAAATTCAAGAAAAAAAGAAGAAATATTGTTTTGATTGATTCAATAAAATGATAAATGTTACTGAGGATATGTTTAATTTGCAAGCAAATACATGAGATTAGTTTCAAATCCATACCAAATGGCTTAAAAGAGTTCTAAAATAGGATAAAATAATACTAATAAAAGAAGAAAAAGTGCAAGAATGATAAGTATACCTGCATGCTTTAGAAAATATGACATCGTAAAAATTGTCAATACTGCATCTAATTTAATTGCACCAGCATTTTATTTTACTACATTGTGCCTTTTACCTTTACAAAAGCATTTAAAATGTAGACCTAATGGACAAAAAAAAACAAAAAAAACCCTGCATTGCCCTTGGTTTTCATTTTGGGAAAGAGAAATAATAATGCACCTTTTAGCAATTAAGAGTCTCAGATGCATTTCATTTTATTTGCATTTCCTTACTCTGTATTGTACCTTTTGATGAGAGAAATACAATCAGTCGTACAGCTCTTTATCAGGATTCACGTACAGCGAGTCTGTTGTCAGCTTTTGCCGGTTTATAGAAACGAGGTAGCTTGCACTAATGAATCACCGTTTTCATCTTTAATTGTAAGTTAGGTTTGAAAGTAATTACAAAGTGAATCTACAAGAGTACAGTTTTAGGAGTCAAAATACACTCAACTGAATGCAAACTTCCTCTATAGCACCATTTTTGTGTAAAAATAATAATACATTAAACATACTGTAAGGAAAACAGGCAAATCCAAATCGTTTTAAGTGTTGGTACAGTGTGTAACATCATTACGGTGTTATTTGCAATTGCCATCTCAATTTAAAACAGCAGTTGATGAATAGTCTTGTAGTATAAAAATTCAGTTAAATTGAATTTCTAATTTCAAGGGATCAATCTGTAAAAAACGTATGGAGCGGTTGTTTTCTTGAAACGCTTGGAAGGCACAATAAATATTTCGCTACAGGGCCAGAAAAGTCCCATGCTCTGTATGTACAAGGCTGATCTTGTCAGCAGTCACGTTAACAGTCTCAGGAATCTCTTCAATTCATGGCTATTCCTTGATTCACAAGAAGCACACAGGCCCAATATCAATGCCAAACTCCTGATCTGAACCTCCAATGTCCACAGGTGCAATATCCACAATAGGTAGTCTTGCTGTTTTCTGCGTCCTGTATTCAAACACGGTCTTGCCCCACCTACCATTTGCTTGCTGTGAAGAGAAAGACATCGATTTAGGTTTGTATGGGGGCACTTGTAATATCTTATGGACTACTGATACTGTATGTGTATGTGTGTTAAATCTAACTTAAATCCCCCCTTTTGGCTCTGTTCTAAAACCTAGAGAGCTGTCTGCATAGACTGCATCATATGTATGCTCCCAACATGAAGACTGTTTCACAAGGTAAGCAGCATAACTGTAAGATACCTCATTTTGGATGTATTCTAGAGCAGAATTACATAAATCCTTAACGGACAAGACCGTCACTACTGCATTGGGACAGTAAAGTGAGAGAAATGCTGATAACGTATAATTAAATTACAAAAAGTTTGTATTGTGTATTTTTATGCATAGTATAGTGTTGTTAGCTTAGCAACATGCTAAAATAAACTAGTGCTGTTTGAATTGATGCACAAGGTTGCATTCCATGCAGAGTGTTCCAAATCCGATCCTCACTTATAAGGTTACATTTTGAGTTAGGCTTCCTTAAAAAATGTAGGCAGTAGAGAGCAAGACAGATCACTAGGTTTTGAAACAAGGCGTGTGCCTTTATACAAATGATGTATTGCGGGGTACTTACTGAGCAGCTGTCCTCAAGGACAGTGTATCTAAAGCGGTTATTTCCCTCAGCTTTGAGCTCAAGATCATTTGAAGCTTTGAGGATGACTGCTTTCTTGAGGTTTCCAGCTGATTCATCCTTGTAGCCCACAGTGTTCTTGCAGTGGTAAGTGATGGTTTGTGATGCCTCTTTGGAGAGCAGACGGATGAAAGTCATCTGAACTGTGACAGTGTTGGCCGGCTGGTCTTTATTCCCGTAAGTGAACTTAACAAAGATACAAAACAACATAAATAATAGGCACATACAGTTTTATGTGATAGATAAGTTGTTTACTCAATGCCATACTAAGTTATTTTGTATTCTAAGTATTGTAGTACTAACTGAGCTCACACAATTTACATGATTAAACAAAATTATTTTCTTAAAGGGGTCATATGATGCGATTTCAAGTTTTCCTTTCTCTTTGGAGTGTTACAAGCTGATTGTGCATAGATAAGATCCCTGAAGTTGCAAAGACTAAAGTCTCAAAACCAAAGAGATATTCTTTATCAAAGTTAAGACTCTGCCACGCCCCCCTAAAACGGCTCATTCTAACACGCCCCCACATATCTACCCCACTATGTGGAAATATTTGCATAATCCCGCCGCAAATGTGCACGCAAAGAAAGAAGGCATGGTGTCAGTAACCGCAGTTAGTGTTGAAGCAGCATATCAGGGAGACGCTGTGTGTTTCTAGACGAAAGCAAAAGCACTTTATTTGGCCTTCCAGAAGTAGATGCAATTAGGAATCATTGGTTAAGATTTATTTACAACAGAACAGCACAACCCAGATGTTCGAATTTGTGCAACGCATTTTATGGACGACAGTTTTTTTTTAACCTAGAAGAGTACAAGGCTGGCTGTGCACAGTTTGTATTGTGTATTTTTATGCATAGTATAGTGTTGTTAGCTTAGCAACATGCTAAAATAAACTAGTGCTGTTTGAATTGATGCACAAGGTTGCATTCCATGCAGAGTGTTCCAAATCCGATCCTCACTTATAAGGTTACATTTTGAGTTAGGCTTCCTTAAAAAATGTAGGCAGTAGAGAGCAAGACAGATCACTAGGTTTTGAAACAAGGCGTGTGCCTTTATACAAATGATGAATTGCGGGGTACTTACTGAGCAGCTGTCCTCAAGGACAGTGTATCTAAAGCGGTTATTTCCCTCAGCTTTGAGCTCAAGATCATTTGAAGCTTTGAGGATGACTGCTTTCTTGAGGTTTCCAGCTGATTCATCCTTGTAGCCCACAGTGTTCTTGCAGTGGTAAGTGATGGTTTGTGATGCCTCTTTGGAGAGCAGACGGATGAAAGTCATCTGAACTGTGACAGTGTTGGCCGGCTGGTCTTTATTCCCATAAGTGAACTTCATAAAGACATGGAAAGAGATAAATAATAGGCAAATACAGTTATATGTGATAGATACGTCTATTACTCAATGCCATACTAAGTTATTTTGTATTCTAAGTATTGTAGTACTAACTGAGCTCACACAATTTACATGATTAAACAAAATTATTTTCTTAAGAGTTCCTCAACCTGCTTACATATGTTCCACCATTCATATTGGCTCCAAACCACACAGGTTTACTTCCTGGGGAACTCCACCATGACTTCCGGGGGATGCTGGAGGGTATTGCGGAGATGCATGTCTCTCCAGTGTCCATATTGCAATGAATTTTAATGGCATCCTCTGCACTGCCCTGGTTTGGATCCACCCAGTATTCACCTATGATGTAGGGATGAAACATTTAAGTTTGTTTGATTTCAACTGCTAATATTCTGGGAAATAGTTTTGGTTCTTATTAAAATAGCAGATACTAAGGTACAAAGCCACAACAACAATGTTAGAATAGCAAGACTGTAAACATACTGTAAAAACTGTAGCACAGTTTTTAATAGTACAGTTTAGTATTTGTGTCTCATCTCTTTCTCTCCCATATATAATATACAGTAAGTGTTTAAATGTAATTCAATATATCTGACTGTATGTCAACCTAAGCTCATTGAAAAGACGTGCCTCTGCCTACATTTTTGTAAAACTCCAAAAACGTACCTATACATATAATGCACTGCAGTTTCCAGCTGAAATGAATAGTAAAACAACAACTTTTATTCCTGTTCACACAAATTCTGATTACAGTAGTAAATTATTGATTAATAAAGACTTATTTTCATGTGGCTTCTTGCACAATACTATGTTGTGACCTCAAAATTTTTTTACCATAGTGCATGATTTGTAAACTAATACATTTTGATGTTTGCCTTAAATAATCAGCTCCATATCTAAAGCTTTTCTGATGTAGTAAACATGCTTGGTAGCTCACCTGGTACATTGCACTTGCAATGCGGAGCATTCAAGAGTGAGTCCCATGAAAAATGAGTCACTATAAAAGACCTCAAACACTTGTAGAAGCACACTCAAATGCCATGGTTGCTTCAGCAAATGTATTTTTATCTCCCATTTGCTTTCGTTAACACTATTGGATAGGTTTACGGTAAGGATTATATAGGTGGTACATTATTTTCATTAACCTTTTAGCGCCACTCCCCAGAGATTTCCTTTCAGCAGTCTGTTTGGATAAATTGGATAATTGGATAAAACTGTTTTTAGTGCCACTCACTAGACATTTCACTTTAAAATTGTCACGAAACATGCAAGATATTAACGTAATATAATTTTTCTTAAATGTCACCACAGGCACGTTTTTTTCCAATGAGCTTGAGTTGGTATATTACCAACGGTAATAATGAATACGGTTATAATGAATTACCTGCCTGTGCAATACCCTAAATTTAACTTACCACTCTTTTTTTGAGGGTAGCATTGTCTCAAGTCCTCACAAGTTCTGGCAGGATGCTTTCTACTACCATCAGGGCTACGCATGCTGTCAATCTGGCTGTTCAGAGCCTTCAAAGTAGCCTGAACTCCAGGATCAGCTTGGAACACGCTTGTTGAGTTACTCTTGGGAAGACCCTCATCCTTACTGAACTCTGGGGGAGGAGGACCAGCATCATAATCTTGAGGCCCACCAAACAGATCTTCCAAAGCTGCAGTGGGAGGTCCAGGAGGTCCAGGGGGGCCACGTTGGCCAGGTTCTCCGGGAGGTCCCTAATCATGATGACACAAAAATAAGTGGATGTCTTAAGTTTTAATGCTATGTGAAGTGGCAGGAAAGTTTAACTTGCCTCTGGTCCAATATCACCACTAAATCCTCTTGAACCAGGAGGTCCCATAGGTCCAGGCTGTCCAATGTACCCTTCCTTTCCTGGCGGCCCAATGGGCCCAGGAGGTCCCTGTGAGACAAATTGTTTATTTCATGTCAATCACCATTTGACTAGTTGTAAATCATTCACATTAAACAAGTTGAAAGCATACCCTTTGTCCACTTGGACCAAAGATGCCTGGAGCTCCCTGTTCTCCAGTTGTGCCCTAAAAATGAAGTGAATGTAAAATGTTACGATGGAAAAATTCTTCACTGATAATATATTGCTTGGTATTCTATATTTAATGAATTACACGACTCAAGCAAAATATGGAGGCTTTGAAATAACTTTTTTTTTCTTTGAACCTAGAGGGGATCTTTGTTATAACTTACAGGTGGTCCAGGAAGACCTTGTAAGCCTGCAAATCCTCTATGACCCTTCTGTCCTCTCTCTCCATGGTCACCCACATCTCCCTTATCTCCTCTTGGTCCTTGCGGTCCCTTAAATAGTTGGAAATGGAGCATTGTATAGTTGTTTTGATTTGCAACTTTAAGGTAATTGGAGCCTTTCTAATAATGCCATATTGTGTAATGTCATAGGTTTCCTACTATGAGTCCTCGTTTTCCAGCAGAACCTGGAGGGCCAGAAGGTCCTTTTGAACCCTGCCAAGACAGCGTGAAGAAAACATGAGCCAAAATGCATTCTAGTATATATTAAATTATATATATTATAGATATATATAAATATGAGACTTACAGGCTCTCCTCTCTTTCCAATTCCTCCAGTTGCACCGACAGGACCGGGGGAACCAGGTGGTCCTGTAGATCCAGTCGCACCCTCTGGGCCTGGATCTCCTCGATCTCCCTTGAAAAATTAAGCAGCTTTTGTAAGATTGGCACAGCTTGAATTTAAGTTTTGGACATGGGTCATTTGATGGTTTTAGGTCTCACCTGGGCTCCTATGACACCTTCCTTTCCTGGTGGGCCATCAGACCCAGCAGGTCCCTAATAATCAAAACCAAAAATTGGTATTTATTGTGCCAAGTAACTCTAGTCAGTACAAATTTAATTATCTAACAATTATATTAAATATATTTTACATCAGGTCCAGGATCCCCCCGAGGTCCATTAGCACCAGGCAATCCAACTGAGCCAGGAGGTCCTTTGTCTCCTGGGGCTCCTGATGTGCCCTGTTTTCCTGGAGGACCCTACATGAGTCATGAGCAAGCAGATTAGTGGAGGTCTTTTAAAAAAAAAGTAAACTCAGATGTCATTTAGTACAGTATGTACACCATAGGGAACAGTAAGTACTTGAGGCAAATTTCTATTTCTATTCAGTATTTATTTACCATTTTAATATTTCAGCATGTAACAACAAAATTTATTTATTTAAATATTTAATTCTGAATGTTTTGTAATGGATACTGACAGCTGGCCCAGGGAGTCCTGGCATTCCACGTTCTCCTCTTTGACCAGGAAGGCCTACAATTCCTCTTTGCCCCGTTGTTCCAGCAGGACCTGGCGGACCATCAGGTCCCTAATGGAAATAACCGTTAAGATTCTGTTTTTACACTTTAGTATTTCACCTGAGAAACATCTGGTGCACTTACTGGTGGTCCATCTTCTCCAGAATCTCCTTTGTCTCCAGGGCTTCCAGCAGGCCCAGGGAGACCTCTCTCTCCCTGGCGTCCTGGGGGTCCATGGTCTCCTCGAAGACCAGGAGGACCCTCTTTTCCAGGAAGACCAAGTGGACCTGGTTCACCAATAGGACCCTAAGAAAATAAATTTTAAATAAAACTTTCAAATGTTTTGAATTTTCATAATTTCTGATTTGTGATTGTGGACCTCTGTAGTCCATGCAACATACCGTTGGACCAGGTGGGCCAACTCTTCCAGCAGATCCAGGGAAACCTGTTGGGCCCTAAACATTAAGGTTTGTTAACTGACTAGCCATTAAAAATGCATGATACAGTATTTGTTATCACAACTATACTCACAGGTGCCCCCTGTGTTCCTCTACCACCCTTTGGTCCAGCCACACCAATATTACCCTGTAGTCACACATATTAAGAAGGAGATTATTAATTCACTAGCATCTTCATAGCACCTTCTGAAAACCATTTTTATGCAAGTGTTTTGTCACCTGTGGCCCTGGAGGACCAGCCAATCCTTGAGGGCCAGGAGATCCAGCATCACCCTTTTGTCCAGGCTCCCCAGGTGGTCCTTTCACACCAGGCTGACCATCAATACCCTATGGTTTTGAAAGCACACCAGATTCAGAACCAGTTTACTCAATGATCTGAAAAAAGCTTTGCATTTTTGCATAATTTAATTCATACAATATCAAACAACCATGAGTTTTTTGTCAGATTTCAAAATGTATACTTACCGCTGGTCCAACAAAGCCTACAGCACCTATTGGCCCAGGTTCACCACGGGATCCCTTGGTTTTAGCACAAATATTTGTTATTAAATCAATACATTTGGCTAATTTGAAACATTGTTGCCTTCAATGTCACTGGCATTGCTTCAACTCACTGGCATTGCTCTTGATCCTGGAGGTCCAGGTGGTCCCTTAGGGCCTGGTTCTCCCTGTTAAAACACTACGTTAGAATTATGTGGTAGAAGAAAACAATATTACAATAAAATATAGATAATAATATGACAGAAGGTGTGTGTACCTTCTCACCACTTGGACCAGCAGGTCCTGCAGGGCCAATTGGGCCTGTCAAACCCTACATGTGAAAGACAACACATCAATATGAGATTATGATCGGGCCTGCTTGAAAAAGTATTTTACAGTTAATCCTCTGTTCGATTACTAACATGTCTATGTTACATTTGTTTATGCTTGATATTGAGATGTATGCTTTTATCTCAACTTTTGTCAGTTTTAAATGTTTCTTTCAAATTTATGTCACTGAAAATCAATAAGAGATAAATTAAGGCAGTGGTTCTAAACTATTTGTACTGAAGAGAAATTATCAAAATCACAGTAATTCAACAGGAATAGATTAATATCATGGCTAATTTATTTTATTTTTATATTATTTATTGAATTTAATTTTTAAATTTTTGTCATTGGCACCATCAGAATGATTTGCAACCCACCAGTTGATAACCACTCGATTAAGATGTTTTAAAAATACAAATAATTACCCTTGCACCGTCACTTCCAGGAGTGCCCTCTGACCCCTTCTCACCAATAGCTCCCTAAATGTGGGAAAAGGTTAATTAAAGAACTACAAATATAAAAATATCTATGTGCACACTGTAAATCAAATTTTGCTACTCACTCTCTCTCCTTTTGGACCAGGTGGGCCAGATATCCCTCTTTCACCTGGCATTCCCTGCAAACCGGGAGGGCCTAGATCACCTACTGTGCCAGGAGGCCCAGGGCTACCCTACAAAAAATGTAACAGAATGATAAATTAACATTTTAAAAACATTAAAAACAACTTTTGTCTTAACTACATATGTCAGGATTATGAAGTAGCTGCATAGTGTCAGACTTTGTTCCATGTGTTGTGTGTGTTTTCCTCCCCCCATGTGCTCTGTTTATTTTTATGCCCTTATTTGGTCCTTCCCATTCCGGTCCTTATGTTCATTTGTTCCAGGGGTTCCCTGTTTAGTTTATTTGATCCCAGGTGTGTCCCATTAGTTTCTGTGTATTTAAAGTGTGTTCTGCCCCTCATTTCCCGTCTGCTGTTATATGTCATTTTGTGTCCTCAGTGATTTCCTGTGTTCCTAGCTTTGCGTTCATTAAAGACTTTGGAATTTGCTTTACTCCTCGCTCCTTCGTTCCCGTTCTCCCAGTGTGAATCGTGACAGAACAGCGGACCTACAAAACAGTAAGCGGCGCCCCTTTTCCCCGTGTTTGTTTTTCGTTTTGAAAGTTTTTTGTTTCCCGTTTGTTTCTCCCCGTAGTATGAGGACCGCCCTGCTGTCAAGCCCACCGGCCGCGGCTCACTCATGCCTGCTGGCCGCTCCGAAGACAAGCCCACCGGCCGCGCCGTTGTCAAGCCTGCTGGTCGCGGCTCACTCAAGCCCACCGGCCGCTCCAAAAACAAGCCCGCCGGCCGCGGCTCCCACAAGCCCGCCGGCCACTCCTGAGTCAAGTTTGCCGGCCACTCTGAAGTCAAGCCCGCCAGCCGTGGCTCCCACAAGCCCTCCGGCCGCCCCAGAGCTCGCTCCAGTGTCGGCTCCAGCCCCAGAGCTCGCTCCTGTGTCGGCTCCTGTCCCCGAGTCTAGCCCACGGAGGGCTCCTGTCCCCGTGTCTAGCCCAAGGAGGGCTCCAGTCCCCGAATCCAGTCCAGAGCGCACTCCTGTGCCCGCGCCTCGAGAGTGCCCACCAGTGCCCGCTCCTCCAGAACACCCTCAGGACCCCATTCCTGCCAAGATGCCTGTAAACCTCTCCAAGTATTTTTTGGGGGAGGGAAAAAAATAATTTTGAATGATTAAATAGTCATAAATCAAGCACCTGGAAGCCATGCATTCCAGGAGGTCCCTGTTCGCCTCTCTCACCTGCTGGACCCTGAAAATCAAGAAATAAAATTATAGATTGTACTCTAATTGCACTCTTCTAATTGTAAGTTTAATAGCTATACAACACAATAGCAAAAGCAGATGGTTGTGTAGAGATTGTACAGAGACAAAATGGCACACTTACATGTGGACCTGGTGGACCAGCTGGGCCTACTTCTCCATCTTTGCCTGGTGGTCCCTATGAGAAAGTCAGAGTTGAGGGGTAAAGTTCATTTTCATTTAGAACAATGTGATTGCTCGAATGTTCAAAGGTTTTTGTTTTTTTTAGCATGTTGTTATGCAGTTACACTCAGTTGTTGTGGTGTCAAAAGTAGTTAATACATTTAACTGCTGTAACTCACCCTTTGCCCAGGAACTCCTGCAGATCCCTGCTCACCTGGCTTTCCTGGATCCCCCTAAATTATTGTTCAAATGATAAGTCATGTACTTATAGAGAATATATTAATAAATGAATAAAAAATTCCACTCACACTAAAACCCTTTGGGCCTATTGATCCCATAGTTCCAGGAGGGCCTTTTGTTCCAGGTGACCCTGCAGGCCCTGGGCGCCCGTCCTCACCTGGAGCACCCTGTAGAAGGTGAATGGTAACATTTCTTTATTTTCTGTTAAAAATGTGGATATTTTATTCCAGTCATGAATGGAAAACATCAGATAAAGGTACCAGTGGTCCTGGCTTTCCTTCGGCACCCTGAACTCCAGGTGTACCTGTCAAACCCTAAGAAAAAGAGGATGCAAAAAATTTATTAATGTATTTGAAGGAGTTGGTGCATTCTTCTCTGACTTTTCTACGATAAAGACACAACACATGAAAAATTTCACTTACCCTTGCGCCAGGTAGACCTGGTTCACCTGTTCTCCCTGGATCGCCAGTAGAGCTTTTAGGACCAGGAGTTCCTGTAATTCCACGGTCACCTTGTGCACCCTTAGATAATTATGAACAAAAGTATTCAGCGAATTAAATTCAACTAGTTAATACTTTGGATTTAATTGAACTCTTTTATTACCTTTGGACCCGGTAAGCCATCTTGACCAGGGAAGCCTCGGTTTCCAGGTGCCCCCTACATTAGACAATAAAAACCCCATGAAAATTGAGGTGGTTTTCTAAATTACATTCATGCAGTCTGCTTTTGTAAAGGCAATAAAAAGAAAACTAGACTCACTCTCTCACCAACAGGGCCGAGTGGGCCAACAGAACCTGGATCCCCTCTGAGTCCGCGTTTTCCCTCTTCTCCCTGAGGTCCGATTACTCCCTGGGCTCCCGGTGGACCCTATTACAAAAAAATGCATTACACTTAAAGGTAATTTCTGTGTTCTTTGTCTTCTCCTAGTTTTTGTACCTGTTAGAAAACAGTTACTGTTTTTGTAATTATGTTTGATGACATGGTATAGAAATTGCATTCTTCACCTGTGTGAAAAAAGATATATATATAGGTCTACAGTATTATTCAATCAAAACTTACAGGTTCTCCTTTAGGTCCAGCTTCTCCTTTAAATCCAGAAACACCTACATCTCCCTTAACACAACATAAAACAAAAGACTGGTTTGAGATTCAGTGTTCTTAATTGTTCTTAATGATACACATTTTAGGGCACAACTAGTACATATATTGTAAGCTATTTTACATTATATGAACACAACAAATCTTCAGTCCATAAATGCATATGACACAACATGAGCGAAGAATGCCTTACCCCTTGACCCTTGATCCCAGGCTGTCCAGTGCTTCCCTGAGGTCCTGGTGGGCCAGTTGGGCCCAGCAGACCAACAGGACCCTGAGGACCAGGAGCTCCCTAGAGAAAATGATATTGTGTTAGTTGCCTATTTCTGCATTTGTAATCCAATGAAAATTGCAATATTTTAACATTTTTGCTGATTTCCATTAATGTATTACGTAAATATTTTTTTCTTTAACATACCACTGGGCCTTTGGAACCTGGACCACCGTCAGTGCCCATAGGCCCCTGAAAAATTCATTATCATGCTCAATTTGCATCACAGATTAATAAATTGACTTTGGATCTGTGATCATGTACTTCAAATTGACAGTCACAAACATACTTGTTGTCCCGGTGGTCCATGTCTGCCTAGATGTCCTGTCTCTCCTCTTTGTCCCTGTGGCCCCTCTGGTCCCCTCACACCTGTAGGTCCTGGTTGACCCTGTATAGCAATTATATTTCTTTTTAATACTAGATTTAACAATGTTTTAAGGTAGTATTAAAGTTCAGCTGAACTATTACAATATATAGGATTAATAGCTATATATGTAAAAATGATACAAAACTTATGTATAGGCCCTAGGTCCTTGCTATCATTACCAACCTTCATGCCTGGGGCTCCAGGATACCCTGGGGCACCATTAATTCCCAAAGGACCCTTAAACAATTAAACCATTAGAGATTAGCATCATGAGGTTTGTAGCTGCTTGGTTTGTCACATATTATCCTTTGGTTCATTAAAATCTCTTACCATTGGACCTGGTTTTCCAACATTTCCTTGAGCACCACGCATACCCTGAAATAAAAAAGAAAAATATTACCAATAATAATAATAATAACACTACTCTTATTATACTCAAAAGCTCTTATTAAAGTTATCGGAAAGGTGCTATCACTTATTAATGTTTTTACTCTCACCGTTGTGCCACTTGGGCCTGGGCGTCCTCTTTCTCCTGGCATTCCCCTGGGTCCCTGCATTTAGCAACAGGCCATTTTAATTTTATTGGAAATAAGGCTAGAAGCATTTGTGGCAGTGTAAGAATGAAGAATGTCTGTTTTTATTTACTGGATTCACATCAGTAATTCTACTTTAATTGCAGTTTGCAATGTATTGGGATGTGGTCTTCTTACCATAGGACCAGGGGCACCCATTGCACCAGGTCCACCAGATTCACCCTAAAATAATAAATAATATATGATGAAAATGTACTTAGAAACATGAAATGGTTAATACAATCATATTTAATATTTGTGTGTATTTATAAATAGACAAATATGAAGCCCTACAGCTCTGCTCTTTTAAAGCTTTGTCAATATTAACTGTTAGGGTTTATAGTGAGTGGCTACTTAATAATGAAGTAAAATTGCATAATGTAAACCTTTGATCCCACAGCTCCACGTTCTCCTTTAAGTCCAGCTAGACCTTGGTGCCCCTGAATTATGAAAGGACATAGCAGGATTATTATTTTGTTAGACTCCATCTAGAAACCTAAAAGTAACAATAGGCAGTGCTGGGGAGTAACTACTCACATGTAACAGAGTTGCGTAATTTAATTACAAAATAAATGTGATTGTAATCTGTTACAGTTACTGAGAAAAAAATGTGTAAATAAATTACAGTTACTTATGAAAATGTTAATGATTACAAAGGGGGTTACATCTGAATATTTTCACACGCACACACACACACACACACACAGACAGATTTAATTAATTTCTTCCCAAAATGCATTGACAGTTCTAAAATATGATACATCAATGTTTCAGGAGTTTAGGACACAGAATAGGACACACGCTTATTCGATAACTGTTTTATTTTCTATTTGGGTTGATGTATATGCTTTATTTTTTAAGATTAACTGTTTTTTCCAAGGCATTGTTAGATGGCAGTGTTTCCTGACATATTTTCTATGCAAAGATTTGATTTCAAAAACAGTATCATAGCTATTAAATTATATCTTGTTATGATTTTAAATCTGTATTTAAACTCAGAACGACCTCAAAGTAAAAAGATGTGCTAAAGTCTGGTTTTGTGGTGGCTGTGCTATCAAATTAAATGTTTATAATCTTAATTCAAGGATTTTGAAAGTCTGACAGTAATCAGTGTTGAGTATTACTGTAGGGTTAACCTTGCCTGGTTTAAATGTTTGAAAATGATTAACAGTTGAAAACGTTCATTAGAAATTTAGAAAAGTATTCAAAAAGTAATCAAATGTAATCAGTTACATTACTTTAACAAAGTAATTGAAATAGTTACACTATTTATTGCATTTTAAATAGGGTAACTTGTAATCTGTAAACTATTACATTTCCAAAGTAACCTTCCCAACACTGACAATAGGAATATAATTTTGCACTGGTAACTTCAAAATCATTCTTTGTAAATTCTGCATTCTATTCTAGTATTCATGTGAATTGTCTTTTCAACCAAGGGAACTTTGTGCTGAATAGTTGGTTGGTGCTTGTGCAAAATAAGCTGCAATTACTTATTGTCGAACATGATGATTGTATATTTATTTTCATATTTTGTGAGTGAATTCTGACATAGCTTACAGGTATTTCATATGATGTATTGTGATGAATTCAAGACAAAACTGGTGGCCTGGTGGATGATCTGTAAGTAATTCCAAAACAATGATGCTTTGAAAATTCAAATGCACTCAATAAGAGGAAAATAGCACCTTGAAAAGATCCCCAGACCAAGAGAATGAAATTCTCACACTTGACAAAAGTGGGATATAACATTGAGAGAGAGCATATAAAACAGCAAGGTTCAAAAATCTGAGACTACTAACAATGCTTCTACTTTGTATTCTTGTAATTTATTGCAAAACGAGTGCACATGGTCAATGTCACAAATTAGCTTATTTGATTAGTGACCTCCAGAATCTTAAAATATTTCTTATTCATTGTTAGTCATATTGTCTTTGTTGTAACTTTTTTAAAGCGCAACCACATTTCAATAAAAAAAAATAAAAAAAAGCAAAACATGTAAATCTTAAATGAGGCCTAGAGACTAAGAATTTACTCACTCTGAGGCCCTTTAAGCCTGGTGGCCCTGGCGTCCCTGGAAATCCTCTTGCTCCCTGAGTATAAAAGTTATTCAAACATAAAACTAAATGCAAACAATGCCATCCAATGATAAAAGCTGCTAATAAAGAATGGCAATTATTACAGAAGATCCTGGAAATCCCATTTCTCCTGAACTTCCTGAAGTCCCTGCTTCTCCCTGTGACAAAAAAAATAAAAATCAATTTCAGATCCTGTTTAATTTTTCCACATTGCTGTGAGGATTCTCGTGATACAGCATAGAGTACTCACATCTTCACCAGGCTTCCCTAAAGGACCCTCTGGTCCTCTCTGGCCAGCACCACCCTATACAATGCAGAACAGTCATTACTAAAAGATGATTAAACATAAAAACAATGATACATTCTACACATGGAGTGCTCATTTAGTAACAAAACAATGCATTATAACCAGAATCATTTTTGTGACTTAAGTAGTATGATCATGGAATTTATTAGAAAGGCTGAATCTGCAGCATTGAAAGGGGTAATTCAGCTATTAGTCATCTCATTACCTCATAATTGGTGCAGACTCTTAAAGTATATTTAATTCTTAAACAATAAAAACCTGTCTAATAAGTCACTTAAGTTAAAAAAAATTGCTAAGAATAGATCCCGCCGTCTTCTGTGCCTCATAATGTTCAAGCTTTTCTTAGTATAAGGATATGTAACATATCATTTGCAAAAAATTGCAAAAATCATTTGGTTTTGTGATCAGAAGAAAGGTTTTCTGGTAAAACTTTACAATAAGGTATAATTTGTTACCATTAGATAATGCATTAAATAACATTAATTAACAATGAGCAATGGTTAGAGAAACTGACTTTTAACCCAAAGGTCATGGGTTCGAGTCTCAGTACCGGCAGGGATTGTAGGTGGGGGGAGTAAATGACCAGCGCTCTCTTCCACCTTCAATACCACGACTGAGGTGAGACCCTTGAGCAAGGCACCAAACCCCCAAATGCTCCCCGGGTGCAAAAAATAGCTGCCCACTGCTCGGGGGTTGTGTTCACTGCTGTGTGTATGCACTTGGATGGGTTTAATGCAGAGCACAAATTCCGAGTATGGGACACCATACTTGGCTACAGTATTCGTCACATCATTTCACTTTCACTTATAAAACCACTACAACTATTTATTTTCTTTGATAATGCGAGCAGCCAAAGTTGTGGTTCCCTTTAACAAATGAGCCATGAAAATTGTCTGCGATATGCGAAACATCTAGTACTTTTTGAGTTTATCCTGGCTGATGTTTGCTTTGAAATAAAGAGTGTTGTGAAGTTTTTATGAAGTCTTCACAGGCAGTAGACAATTAATCATGTTCCCTCACCATTGGCCCTGGCTCTCCTACATCACCAGGAGGTCCCTGTGGTCCTGACGCCCCCTAAAGGAAATTGAAAAACATGCTACTGCTGGAAGCCATATTCTTTTGACCTGAAATCTGTAACAAAGATTTCTTATCAAATAAATACTTACTGGTGCTCCATTTGGCCCAGGCGGTCCCCTTGTTCCTGCCTCCCCCTATTGAAAAATAGCTTTGTTACTAGAATAATCACAGAGTGCTTATGAAACAGCACTTTTTGAGCACAACACAGCACCCAAATCAAATGATGCAATTGTCTCATTCTGTACTACTCCAGCTTATTCTTTTAACACAGCATTGCAGTGATGCGAGTATGATACATTTCTTGTAATGCTCTTCATAAGTGTGTGGTTTATATGATATATAGTTTTGTTTAAATTACAGAATCTCCACTTACCCGAACTCCAGGCATCATGGCATGCTGGGCTCCTGTTTTGTCAGCAAATCCTCCGGCCATATGTGAAGACAACTCACCCTAAGTAAGAGAGGACATGGGCTTTATTAATTATTAACTATATCTATATATTGTAACTGTTGTGATTTTTTTTTTTTCTTCGACACTCTGTTTTTTTATATTCTGTCTTGCAGTCCTGCTTTCAACTGGCCTGTGATGATTAATGAAGCTATTAACTATAAACTCACTCCTGGGGTATGTCCTGGGGGCCCTGGCTCTCCTGGCTGTCCTGGAATACCAGGCTCTCCGTCATATCCTGGGGGACCCCTGAGACCCTACAATAGACATTAAAATCAGGCTAAAATAACATAATATTACAATAATATTTCTTTAATCACATTTTGAAATTAATTTGCTGTTTCTTACAGGTCGACCTTTGGATCCGCTGTCTCCTCTGTACCCTGCAGCTCCTGGAGGCCCCTGTATAATAAGCATAACATTACATAATTAAAGTAAATAAAAACAGACTTGATAGCACTATAGTCTGTGAAAGTTGTTGTCATAGTTGTCACACATAAATTTCTGATTTCAAGAAGACTGGATGAATTTTGCCAGTGTATAAAGTTTCGAAATAATTTATTAGCAAGGCTACATGAAAAGTTCAAATAAAGCCCAAACCAGTTTAAGGCAAATAAACTGAGCTGTGCTCTGTCCCCATCTAGTGTCCAGACATCAGAAAATATATTTCAAATAATCTACTAGATACTGTAGCTATATGTGATTGATTAACTGCACAAAGCACAGCATGAAAACACTGAAGCACTTATTTTATCACATGTTCAGTTGTATAATTGGATCAATTTGATTGATCTATGTATTTATATTGATCAGGACCCTATATAAGTAAATGAAAGAAATCTTACCATTGGTCCGGGACGACCTCTTATTCCAATAACCTATAATCAAGATTGAATTTTTGTATTATTTTCAAACTGTACAAATATTATTATATATCCATCCTCATGTAAGATAAATGTTCATTCAAACATACAGTTGGGACATCTCCAGGTTCTCCTTTCTGACCCTGAAATCAAGAAGAGTAAAACTCAAAATAGAAGATACTGGACTGGCAAATTTATTTATTTATTTATTTAAATATTATAGCATACCTTGGCAATTCTGCCCGCTGACAGGAAAAAAGAAACAGACATTTTTATCCATTCTAAAATTTCTAAACACTAAAGATTTGCATGAAGATGCTAAATGAATAAAAATTTCTTTTCAAGGTTTTTGTCGTGCGCATCCTCACCTGGTCTGCCATTACCACTGCTGTGTGTTGTGTCACTCTGGCAAATAGGACAGCACTCTCCTTGTGGGATTACTACCTTTGCACAGTTAGACACTTCATCACATTGCACCTCATCGCACAAGATGGTTCCGCTGTCACAAACACAGATCCTGCATGGTTCAGGTTTCCAGATGTCTCTGTTTGTGTACACCTGTCCGTTCTCTGTACAGCTCAACTCATCCTCTATGGGCAAAAAAGGTAAATACTATATAAATATTGTGTACACACACATATTTTTATTTTAAACTCTTTGTTAATAAAAATCTGTCATATATAGTTACACTCTCTCTCTTTGTGTGTGTGTGTGTGTGTGTGCTGTTGGTTGTGATTAGACCATTGCATGAAAAAGGTACTTTTTGTGATCCTCAGCATGTGTAAACAATGACTTTAATTAGTTTTAACATGTATTATTATAGGTGTTTTTCTAAACGCATCAATAAAATACAGTAACTTTGTATGTAAAGTTATATTAAGTTTCTGGTCCCCATTGACTTCCGTAATAGGCCTATATATTTTTCCCCCATATAACGGAAGTTAATGGGGACCAGCAACTATTTGGTTACCCACAGTCTTCAAAATATCTTCTTTAATGTTAAACAGAAGAACAAAACTTAAAGGGGTGGTTGATTATGATTTCACTTTTTAAACTTTAGTTTGTGTGTAATGTTGCTGTTAGAACGTCTGCAAAGTTAAGACGCTCAAAGTTCAACACAAAGGGAGATATTTTCTTTTAAAGAAATCGCTGTTTAAGGACTACAATGAGCTTCTTCCTGGGTTTGTGACATCACTAACCCCAATGTTTACATAAACCCTGCCCCCAGGAACATGCAACTACCTGGCATGACGTTTCCGGACAACATGCACTAGCTGGTTAGCGAATCACAACACACTGGGCCAGCTAACCAATCTGAGCCCAATTGCGTATTTCTGAGGGAGGGGCTTCATAGATGCAGGAGCTCAACTGACCGTTTTGACGAGAATGGAAACAGCGGTGTTGAATAAAGGTAAAATATGTCAAAATAATGTTAAAAAAAATCGAAGCATGAACAGGTTACACTGCACCCCATAAACACAATCAAGCCTTCGAAAAAAAAAAGCTGATCAACCACCCCTTTAAGGTTTTTTTTTTTTTTTTAATGAACTATCCCTTTAAATGATTTTCCCCTCTCTTCTTTCATGCCATTTGGTCTATTCCCAGCCTCATGCTTCCAAATTCAAATATGCACCTTGAAAGTCAGACTTTTTCATCTTTCTTCATATATTAATCTTTATTTGATGCAAATTTTAAAATATTACTTTTCAAAATGGAAATTTACTTTTAAAAATGGAAAAAGCTAGCACTCATGGAATCACCCGATTATGTGTGTCATGCCTTGCAACTAGTCCAAAAGGCCAGATAGATGTGTAAAAGCGCTGGTATACCCTGAGAAAGTGGCTGAGAATTACTGGAAATGGTGATCCCTTGCCTTTTGGAAAGGCTCTGGTGGGAAGACATGAGCTAATGCTCTCCAGGAAGTCTGATTCATAGGCTACATATTCTTTCCAACAGACCTCTACTGCAATGTGCAGTTCAGTCCGTCATTAAAATAAAGTTAAACTATTTAAAATAAACTATTTCCTAATAACATTTTCAAGCTATGAAGTACAAGAACTTTGCAGAATAATGAATAGCTGTGGCAAATGTTCAAATGTTCACGTTCAGCAGTACGGTTTGCTGCTGTAGTACCAGTACACCAGGTGGCACCCCTGAGCTTTATCCGGCTGCCTTCAGTGAAACCTTTCGGGTTTTGTTCTCACCTGAAATCTTCACCCTGAAAAGGATGTTTTTGTACCCCACTATTTGAGAAAGTTTAATACGTTGTAATACTAGCGACAAAGCAAGTAAAGAGCAACAGAGCAGCAGGTAAAGATCTGAAATTTGGCCGCTCATATCGGTTTTTGCACTGTGCTCATAAGGAATGTTCAACACGTATTGATTCTGGGATGCAGATCAAATGTGACTAATAGCTAACGGGGAGATACGACCAAAGCTCAACCTCTTGCTCATTCAGAGCGTTCAAGCTAATGAATAAATGTAGCATAAACGAATTAAACGGATGCATTAGGAGGGTGTTGATTGTAAAATGTTGATAGCTTTTTGACCTGAGGGAATTAATATAATGTGTCAGGGAAAGATGCCAAAGAAAAGAGAGATCTTTTCCTGAACACATGGCTGCTGACGAACTTGGAGAACACACCAGCAAACATGCTAGTTTATATGCAGCTTACAACAGTTTTCCAGGATTGCTAATATTTAGTAGCCTACTCTTTATTTATTTATTTATTTTTATGTGTTTCATTTTTTTTTTGCACAAGCAAGGAACAGGATTTCTGGAAGTTGGACAAATGTTTTCTCTGTAGGTTTGTTCCGAACGGGGTTTCTCTTACTAGAGAGTGATGAACAAACGGGAAGCAGGAAACCCCGGAGTGGGGCTTAAGCGGAATAATTAGCTACTGAATGCATTGAACATGGGAGGGGAATTGATTTTGCAGTCATGTTCCAGTTTAAATGTTGCATGATGCACATTTCCATGCTTTGGCCTTTTTTATTTTATTTTTTTCCCCCCCAAGCTGGCCAATTTTTATCTGAAATGCATGTCAATATGCACATCTTATAGATGTGTTTGCATAAAAGCAATGTTATACTCTCATTCCTGCTGTTGGTGAAAATTGTTACAGTAGAGAGAGAGAGAACACTTTCATATTCCACAGTCTATGGTATTCGCAGCAATTTACAGAAAACAAATTAAACTACAACACATGCAAAAACAGATGTAATCCAGGTAGAATTCACATATAGGATAATAAAATGGATCAATGGTCAGAATTGTAGACAATACAGCTGGAACTGTCTGTTCCCTTGTGAATAATAGATGAGTCATCATAAATTTATGGGAGGGGAAATAGCGTTCACAAGCCACCCATGAAAACCTTACCATTAAAGGTGAAGAGAATGCTCACTCTTTCCCTCAGTTAGCTAATTCATTGCAGACTCTGTGTTTTCTACAGCAACGGTTAAAATCCCCTAGTGATGAGGATAGCAAAAGCATGGTCCTTTGTGGACTTCTGACGTACATTTTCCACCAGTCTTCTAGTCTGGCCTGACCTGACCGCACTGAACATGCTCAGCATTACTCCATGTCAGCTAAAGTCTGTGTTTCCCTCCCAAATGCTCAGACTTCCGTAGGCACGGTCTAGGATAACAATGGGCAGCTTCTTCTTTACAATTTACATCTCCAGCAAGATGCTGCATTGTGGGAGATTAACTGTAATATAAATCACATGTATTTTCCTTTGGTTTATGTGGAAATACTCATAACTTGCTGTGTTCAGGGACTTTTTTGTTGGAACAAGGCCCTATGGGTTAGAAAATGACCTTATGGAAACAGTGACTCATCTGAGTCTGTCTTTCCAACACCAAGTATGTGTTTGTGTGTGAGAGTCTGTAATTCAATAAATGTAAGGTTTTCATCTGAACGTCAAACAATGTGAAATTCTCTTTTGATTATATCCTGATTTTGAGAACTTTATTGCTGAATGCTGATGTCCAGGAATCACACTATTTAGGAATTTTTTTTTTCATAAAGGAAGCATCTGTTTTTACAGTTAAACAAGATAAGCTGCATTCAAACTCCAGGGAAACTTTAAAAGGGGCTCCAGTCTTGCTTTTTAAAAGCCAAGGACACAAATAAATCATGTGACTCACAGACCTCTGACCTCTCTTGTAATTAACTGATAGAGTTCTCCACAGTTCACACACAACTCCCTCTTTTTGAAGAAGAATCTGTTTGAAAATGGGATGTCCACATTGTAATTCAGACTGTCATTCAAGACCAATAGACCTCAAAGTGATTGTGAAACCTATGATTATTCAAGCCTTGACACTCTTCAGTGTCCTTGCGGCTACCCTTTGCTAAGATACAAATGAAGATCTTCAAATGAAGAGTCACTGATTTCACTCTAGGGAGAACAACCTAGTTTGTACAAGGAAACATGTTTTCCTCTGGTTTGGACATGTGCCTTTTTTTTTGCTTTCAATGATGTGCGTGCAGTGAGGGACTTGGCCCAGAAAGGTTTTTTGGTAACACTTTAAAATAGCGTTCAGTTGTAAGGCATTTATAAGTGATTAGTTAATGACGAACTAATCATTTACAAAACATAACTATGTGTTCATAAAATGATTAATAAGTGATTTGTTAATGTTTTGTAGATTGAGTTATAAATCATTTACAAGTGATTAGATGATGATTAACTAATCATTTACAAAACATGACTATACGTTCACAAATGATTAAGTAA